CCTGGAAATACTATGCCGCACCAGTCGTTGCCTGCACCTCCTCCCACTGCGCCAGCCGGAAGAGAGGGGCCTCCCTCCCAGCTAGGTACAGTACCAGCACCATCGTAGCACACCTTTGCTGCATGTACGCTAATTAGATGGGACGGGATGGGGATCCTCCAGCGAACGACCAGGCCGAAGAGCCCGAACAAGGGGGTAGGGCGACGGGTTGGTGGTTGGGTGCACATTGGGAGCACGCCTGAACCAAACATCTTTGTGGGTTCGTCTGTCCTCCCTGTATTGGGCTGCTGCGTGCCTCCGTCGCCTGTTTGATTCCTTGACTGCCATTCTCCTACTGACCGGCTGGGCAATTCCATGCCGTCATGACAGCGCGAGAGAAGGCCGAGCGCCCGGATCTTATGATCACTATCATACAGCATGCCAACAGAAACAACTAGCCAGCTCCAACCACGCACACGGCCTTTGAGCCCCTCCCCCTCAAACGCACCGATCAGCTCAGCGTGTGGCCCCAACGCTTTGAATGCCGACTCCTACCCTCTGTTGTCAGCCCAGCTGAACCGACTGCCTACCGGCCCATGCTTTCGTTTGGCTCGCGTCCGGTTCTGCATTGACGTCGTTGCTTTCCCTTGCACAAGAACATCCCGCATGGCTCTCGGTCTCTATTGCGTGAGCCTCGATCGAATCGATATACCTGAGGGGTCGATCGAGGGAGGGGTAGTTTTGTTCAGAATGTACGAGCCAGAGACAGCGGCGGCATCTTATCGATAATATGGGCAACGCGCGTAGCAGCACACACGCGACGCAAGGGCCCTCGTACCACCACAGAACCCAGATTCCCCTAACATCAAGTGACCCATCTGCGGCTGGCATGAATCACGAATTACCCTGGCGGGGGTGGCTTACCCACTACCCATCTATCGGAAGCCTCGATGCCACTTTTTTTTTTTGGGCCTCCATGTCATGCTGCGACTGAGCTCCTGTGCTGTCTCGCCTTGACGTGAAGCCTTGTCTCTCTACCTGTACGTGGACAGGCAAGCAAGACATTTATCGTCATATTGCACCTCTCGGAGCGTGGCGGGCTGTACCATGGCTCAGCGATTTGGTAGGCCGCCTGCACGCTGCCGCCGGGCTGGCGCGCGGTTCGTGTTTGACGTTGTTTGGGCCATCCTACCAGTTCTCCTCATTGAGCCGTTGATCAAGAGGTAGCACATCAGTGAATGTATCGCACTACATAACCATGGAGCTGCACGCACACACGTCACAACCTCCCCGATGACGACGCCCTCGTCCTTCGAACAATTCTTCTAGAAAGAAACGCCGTGTGCGATTTGCTGGAGCACGGGGCTTGCTGCGCCCCGTTCCAATTCCAATTCATTCGTCTCATCCATCAGATGCTTCAGATTAATTGATTTCTTGTGGAGGCCCGTCCATCTCCGCCTCCCCCCGGATGTGCCCCGGGGCTCGTGCCCGGCTCGGCCGCATGCCGGTTTCAGTCCGAGAGTTCCAAGCGGGCTCATCAATGCCTTCACAAACAAGTCTGACTAGGACGCGGGCGATCCCGTGTCATACGCCGCTCGGGTTCACACGTGCATTGTGAGGGGGCTGAAGAGGCACAGCCTTAAGGTAAAACAAACTTCTTCTTTTGTTCATCCAACGCCGGACAGCCAACTTGGCTCGCTTTGCAAAAGCAAGCCAAGTTTGTTGTCTCGGACTCCTTTTCAGCACATGGTATCTAGTACTACCATAAATATGGGCTCCTCTCTTACTCGTCATGCGCTGCTCGTCTCAAACAATGAACACCGTCCGGCAGCACCCGTCTCATGTGAAAACCAAAGTGCCCCCGATGGCCGCGTAAGTAAAGAATAAATATCAAAGGGTATCAAGTGGCAAATCGAGCCATGGAGAAGAGTCCGATAAAAAGCCACCCTCAAGGTGCTTGCAAGGACACGATGACGCTGCACGGGTTTGCTCTTGAGAGAGAGTACAGCCATATGAGGCATACATGCGCACCGCATCGTAACGAGGCAGGCGTTTTGACCGCGTGCAGTGAACACCATTAGGCTGCCTGGCTAGACAATCCTGTCCGGTTTTCGTAGCGGAATTGGTCGTGTCGTGACCAGGTATGTCGTTAGGAGGACAGGAGGTGAAAAGAAGAAAAGAAAGGGACGAGATTGGCTACATGTATGGAATCGTGTGGCCATTGCTGCAGCCATGATCATGGGCTGACAATGCGCTCATCGTACGCGGCTGCGGAAAGATGTGCTACATGGCTGCAAACGTGGAATATCGTATGCAGCCAACGAATTACGGGTGTCCTTAAATCTGTCCCTTGATATCGACGGTGCGGAAGGCCGCGCTTCGAGCCGTCTCGAATAGCGGGCCAGCCTTGCCGGTCATGAGGGAGATGGAATCTTGCCGCTCTTCAAGAAGATCTTGACCATTGTAGTCAACAATGAACTGAGCAGCGTCGTGATCGGACTCGAAACCGAGTTCCTCAGTGATGAATCGTAACTTTACGTCTGGTTTGTAACTATGAGTGTGTCAGCAGGAAATTTCTGGCGAGCAGGGGATGGAGAATGAACTTACGCTTTGCAAATGTTGCACAAAGCTGCGAGACGCTCTCGTACGACAAACATGTCCATGAGATAAGCGCCCATGTTGGGGGTGTCGAGATACAACTGGAAAAATTTGTGGTAGTTACCCAGGGCTAGCGCTGAGCGAACACTTAGTGCATGTTTAATAGGGCCCTTCTCCTTCTCTGCTGTGGTTAGATCTGCCATCGCATCATTCAATCCGGTGCGGTTGGCGGTATGGATAAAGTAGAGGATACGGTATGCCTTGAATTCGATGGGGTTCCCCTGCAGACCCAGCGCATACAAAGTGCGCAGCTGGGTCTGACACTGATTATACTCACCGAGGTCCCCCTTTTCCAAGGCAATCCGGGCGTGCAATTCGTAGACCGTTACAGTGAAGTCATTCTTAATCCGCTGCACGGTCAGGTCTTGGCGTACGGATTTTAGTTGGTCGCAAATGTAGGAATAGTTGCTCTCCTTCCGCCACTTCTTCTTCAATACATCCAAAGTTTTATGAAGCACAGGCTCGGGTCGCACCAGGGACGGGACGGGGGCAGACGTCAACCTCAGGTATCTCTTCTCGAGAACCTCACAGGTACCGATCACGGGACCCGTTGACGGCGGAGGCGTGGGGGATCGTGGCGCCGACTGATAGTTACCCCATCGGCGCTGGCGTTTCTCCAGCTGCTTCTGGAACTTACTGGATTTAGGCAGGGGTTCGTCCATACTGGGTCGTTTATCAGGCGAGGGGTGTGTGATGCGATCCTCAAGGGACGAAGTGTGGTTGTTGTTAGTATGACGCCACGGCATAGCAGAAGACTGATCATCGCCGCCGAGATCAGTCGACTTGCGCTTCTTTGCGTTTACATTGAACATGGAAGTAGCAGCTGCATGATGACGGGCCGCTTGAACAAGAGCAGTGGGTGATGGCATGTGGTCCCAGTCGATGGAGTCGATGCTACCAGTGTCCACGGCGCTGGATATCGTCTCTTTCAACTTGGCCTCGACCTCCTCTCTAGAGACGGACGGGTTCAGGTTGGCTGGTAGGAAAGCACGACGAACATATTCGCGAACAGAGGGAGAGAACACAACTTTGCCCTTCGGCGGAGGAGCAGCAGGTGCGGGAGTGATAGTTTCGGACGAGGGCATCGCAACGGGGGCGTGAGACATAGGGTGAGGAGGATACTGGCCGAAGCCCTGACGGACCTGAACCGGCGTATAGGCTGGGTCTGCACGGACAGTCAGCCTTGTGTCGTGTTGTTTTGCACAGAACCAAGACTTACTGGGCGGGTAGGCATAGTTCGAGACGGGAGGAACAGGAGTCGGATGTTGAAGACCAGGAGGTGCGGTCTGCCAGCCGGAAGGCATCATGGTGATGATGAGGGTAAATCGCGCGTATGTCGGTTGGTGGTCCGATGGTCCGAAGACGCTGCCTTGATTAGTTGTCTTTCGTGGAGGCTTTCTAGAGACTAGATTTCGTCGGTGTGCCTGCTATTGTCGACTCGGGCTTGCTGTCGAGTGTGCGTGTGAAGCTGTGAAAGAGTCGAGAGGAATCTGTGGAGCAGAGGATCTGTGGGCAAAGCATAGACTTCTTTCTTACTTGAGAGGAGTCGCAACGCACGGACCTTATGATCAGCCACGTGACTGAGCATCCCCCAAGGAAGCTTTCTCATTATCACCTGTTGGCTACCTAGAAAGTCTCCCTTTTACCCAGGCAACTCGCTCTGAGTACACCAAGAAATTTTCCGTAAGCTTTTACTGCACCCACGCCATCCGGCCTTGGAACATAGGTTCGCCAGGTTTTCCGGGGTGTTCACCAAGGCGCCCTCAAGTGTCTACCTTAGCGTCCGACAACGAGATTACCGGCAAGTCCAAACGCGAACATATGAGTCAGCATGATCGTATCTACCTGTCACAGAACACTTCTCTAGCTCCAGATTCGCAGATTCCTCCAAGGGTCAAGATGCAGCGTTGTAACGTCCTCGCATTGTGCTTCGGACCCCTGGAAAGTACAAGTAGACGTCATGGTTAGCCTTCAATGTTTCGATTCGAGTAACGCTGGCTCAAATGGGGCAAACAGCATGTGACGTTTTGCCCCTGGTCTTATCTAGCGGCACGCTTATCAGCAGTAGAGGGGCGGCCGGCCAGGACAGGGATGGACACCTTGACTCTCAGGGCGCGGGGGGGGGGGGAGGGCACTTCATAAGGTCATCGACACACGACTCGCAACCCAATCTTGCCGCGAGGACCTGGCCGACCATTCTTAACGCCCGCGAACCATGTGGCATCCATAGATTACTCGACGATTGCCAGAGCTTCATGTGCTTTTGTACGTGTGCTAGCTAGCCTATGGTCGTCATCCATCTCCCTCGCATCAACCGACCTGCAACGAAGCAAGCTGGCAAAGCGGCCGCTCTGGCATGACGGATGTTTCTCAAATCCATCGACCTCACCACCGCTCTTCGGCCTTCCTATCTGCCTGACGAGGTCCTGCTATTTGTGCAAGACAATGTGGGCCTATATGAGGGGTAAGTCGGGATGCGCCCTAGATTTGCGACCAAACTGCTGCTGACTCTAGCTCGTAGGAAGTATAAGTTGCCGCACCATCAAAATGGCCAGGTATACCTGACATCGCACCGAATCTGCTATGTCGACAAAGAAGATCCTCGAACGCACTCGGTCGCACTCGAGTTGAAAGATGTCGACCGCTACGAGTTCTACGCTGGCTTCCTCAAGTCGTCGGCCAAGATAACGCTCATACCGAAACCCTTGAAGCGTTCCTCGCTCATGGCCAGAGCATCAGCCATATCCCCAGCCACCGGACGGCCAAGCTCTCATATCGGTCCTGGTTCAGGTTCCACCACACCTGCTTCGTCCGATGGCCCCTACAGACCCCCCTCCGAGCAGCCGTCGGTCAGCTCTGCAACCTGGGTCTGCACCATATGCAGCTTCTCAAACCCAGTTCCTTCGAATTTCGATCCAACCACGGCCAATATTCATACACCTCTGCCGCCATGCCTCGCTTGCGGGATCAAGCCCTCCTTGGCGCACGTGTTAAAGGCGGCCATCTCCAACGCCACGAATAGGTCCGCTGCAGCACCTGCGACTCCTTCCGGGCCGCTGCCTGCCGCAGCGCAACCCCAACGGTCGAACTCGCGAACAGGAGAAACGGGCGGGCCCCCACTGTGGCCAGGATCGTCCAGCATCATAGGCACGCCTCCTCCACAGCAACCAGTGCAGCCAGCGCCGCTCGACCCCAGCGCCCATTTCCAATGCCCTCGGTGTACGTTCCTCAACCATCCATCGTTGCTAACATGTGAAATATGCGGTGCGCCGCTCTTGGCCCAAAACACACCGACATCGGCCCTCAAGGAGGCCCCTCAACGAACAGAGTCACCGGGGCCCGTTCTGAAGGGACCTACCGCTGGATCTGGGTCTGACACGGCGGAGAGCGTCAAGATATCCTTCCGAGGGGGAGGCGAGAAGATCTTCCACGAAAGGCTCAAAAACTCCATCGCGCAGCGAAAATGGCTTTTGCAAGGAGCCCCGCCGGTACCGAGAAGCGGTCGAGCCTCGAGTGAAAATGGGGCTCATGGCCAGTCACCGTCAGGCTCAGGCCCGGAACGAAAGAAAGGAGTGGGCATTGCCGGGCTTGAGCAGCGCGGCCTCGATATGCGCAAGAACAACGAGGTCATGATTGGCAGCGCTTTTGAGGACTTGGACGCTCTCATGGCCTCGGCGAAGGAGATCGTGGCGCTCGCAGAGAGATTCGCGCGACAGGCCAACGGGGGCAGTGGCGCGGCGGCTTCTGAGGCGAACGCGCTGCTCGCCGAGTCGGCCAGCCAGCTCGGGCTGATCACGACAAAGGACATAGTCAGCGGAAGCAGCTCTGAGAAGCTCTACCTCTCGGAGCTGGCTCGTAATCTGGCCGAGTTTCTGACAGACGACGCCCGTGGCGTCCTCAAGAAGGCGGGCGGGGTTTTGAGTCTGGTCGACCTGTGGGCCATGTTCAACCGGGCCCGCGGCGGTGTCGAGCTTGTCAGCCCCATGGACTTTGAGAAGGCGGCCCAGATGTGGGAGTCGCTCAAGCTCCCCGTGCGGCTGCGCACCTTCAAGAGCGGTGTCATGGTGGTCCAGAGCAGTGACAGGACCGACGAGACGACCATCAAGGCCCTCAAGTCATGGCTGGCAGACCTTCACGAGTTTCCCCCCGAGCGCGAGGTGGCATGGGACTGGCGAATGTTCGGCCGTGGAGTCACAGCACGCGACGCAGCCGAGAGGTTTGGCTGGAGCATCGGCGTGGCTGAGGAAGAGCTGGAAATGGCCGAAGAGCGCGGCGTGCTCTGTCGCGAGGAGGGTATCGAGGGTCTCAAGTTCTGGGAGAACTTTATCGACACGGGCGAGCGTCACAAGCGGCGCGTCAAGAAGCGGACAACGGAGGATGACCAGGTCACACGTGCACTTAAAGAGGCGGGCTTCATTTGATGAGGGTGGGGGGTACACCCCAAGTCTACCTGCCGCACCTCAACTCATTGAAAACGTGTGCGTCCCCATCTGTTTGTCCCTTCTATGTATCTTCTTGATGTGTTGTTCATTAGCCAGCCGTGCGGGAGGATTTGCCCCTCCTTTTGTTGTTGTACAGTTGCAGATAAAAAGCAGACATCACCCAATCCCCCCGAAACGCCATATCCAATTATCGGAAAGCCGAAGCCACTTCTGGCCGGTGCGGCCCGAACGCAGTGCAGAGCAGAGTCCAGAGGTCCCTATCAAACCAACCTCTCCATGAGGTTCCGCCTGACCTTTGTGTTCACAACGCCGCCGACGCCAAAAGCGGGCACGATGCGGCCTATCCTCGCGGCGACGCTGATGGCCCAGTTCTTGCGGACGGCAGCCCACCTCTCGCTCCAGGGCACCACGGCGCCGCTGCCCGGTCTGTTGTACAGATCGAGGCCGAGCAGGTGGAGCGGCGTGCTGATGGCCTGTACGGCGGCCGGCGCCATGAACTGGGCGACGGTCATGCCGTCGACCTTGCGTCTCAGCTCGGCGCCCATGCGCTCATTGATCCAGGGCCCCAGCAACGGCGGCACGTTGAAGCTCGCAAAGATGGTGATGCAGTCGCGCACGGCAAACAGGGCGTAGGAGGCTGGAGTGACGGGCCGCGGGACGACGCCGGGGGGACCGAACATGCGCACGAAGACCTGGTCCTTGTAGATGCAGACACCAATGTTGGCGGCCGAGGAGGCGGCAAACTTGGCCGTGCCAGCCGTCACGGTGGTGGCGGGCTTGTTCGCGACGGTCGAGGAGACGGTGTCGAGTGTGTTGGCTGTCAGGTAGGTGCTTCCGTAGACGAGGAAGATGAGCGCGGCGGGTTTAGAGAAGAGGAGGGCGTGGGGTCGGAGCAGCAGCGTGCGGAAGGAGGATTTGATCGAGTCGCCCAGCGTCTTGGAGCCTGATGCATTCTCCATGATGGAGCTATGGTCATGTTAGTCGCGGCACTTCTCAAGGCTCTTGTGGTCTTTTTTTTTTTTTTTTTTTCCGGTCAGAAAAGACAACGCATTGCGAGAGTACGCACCGGTCAATGATGGATATCACAGGGGCGACCAAGGCCGCGGCGCTCGCGGCTGCCAGCAGGTCAGAGCCGAGGCGCAGTCCCAAGTTTTGTGTGTTCCATATCCTTTCTCGTTCTATACGTGCCGGCAGCGCGCCGAGGACGTCAATCTTTTTATCGGGCGCCATGACGGCGACGGCCAGCGGACTGGACGGTTGCAGCGCAAGTGGTGATTCTGCCGAGCCCAGCGTTCGGCAGGCTGTGCTGTCGTCGTTCATCGCTTTCTGCGAGCCGGGGTGTCTGGTCTCGTTCGCCGGTTCGGCGAAGCAGCCTGGTTGTCCGAAAAGCGAGCCAGTTTGGCGACCGAGTTGGGATACGTTCTACTTGCGCTGTCCGTCGATCCGTGGCAGAGCGCAAAAGGTCGGGGCGAAAAGCTGCAATTTCTCTCGAGGTTGTCGGTGACTCCCTAATGGTTGACGATGACTAGGAACAGGACGGAATGGGACAGGGACCAGGCAAGACAAGAGGACGAGACAGAAGAAGTCTGGCTGCTGCTGCTGCTGGTTGACCCTGGACCAGCACTGGACCCGAAGCTCAAGGCGACCCGACCCGGTTTCCAGCCAGCGAGATGACGAGTGGGCTTCGGGCTGTCAACCAGCGAATGACGACGGTGAATTTCTGGCTTACGGGCTTTCGCGGTACGCCCTGCAGTGCGTGCGCCCGACATCGGAGATAAAATGGCATGGTGGAATGGCCTGATGATGGGGACGGTTACTCGCGGACGAACAGGGGTTTTAGCACAAGCAAGTCGCGGAGGGAAGCTTGGGCGGTGGTCAACCGGCGCCGAGGACTCACTGCACTCGCGACAGCCCCCCCCCAGCATGTCCCAGTGGCCCCCAGTGGCCCCCACTGAGTGCCGGCAGCCGACGGGGCGGGCCCCCACGCTGGGGGAAGCTCGGTGGACCGTTGACCGAGGAGGAACATTCCTTCCTGAGCTTCTCCTGCCTCGTGTTGAAGGCAGATTCTTGTGCTTTCCCTAATGTACCTACCTTACCTAGATACGTACCTACGTACAACTGGTAAAAAATGGTTATTTTGACAAGAGACACGGGCTCAGTTGCAGCTTCTCCATACATCTACTGTCGCCATGTCGAAGCTTTGCTGAGGACGATCCTGCCACTGCCAACATTGACACCAAGAGTCTCCGTGGCCTGGTGGCACCTCTCGCCAACGCGCATACTATCTTCCTTACTCAATGCTGATTCTCATCTTGACACTCAACTTGTCCCATCTCTTCCATGCTAAGCTCATATGAGCGCGATCTTGTCTCTCTTCTTCCGCCAAGTCTGGTATCGATCCGCGCCGGCGTGGCACTGGGGACGAGTCCTCACCTGAGTATACAAATCCAACCCGACTACACGTGCATCGTGACGACGGGCGCGATCCTGAATTCTTTTCTTCCAGCAACAGCCCGCATGGCCCTCCCAGCTGCTCTGCAACCATGACAAAGAGCAACTGCCTATCCCTGTATGGCCTCAAGTCGTCCCCAGACGTCTCCCTTGTCATCACGTCCCACGCCACGAGAAATGGACCCGGCGAGGGCGCTGGTTGTGAGATCCCTGGCAAGGACCCCGTGTAGGTGGACGTGGGCGTCCAACCCCCTGGCACAAACCACGTCTTGTTCTGTTCAGCAACTCCAGCGAGCTTGCCTCGCAAGACCTGGCCCGTCACCTTCAGCGACGACCCCATGAGCGGATCGCTAAACCTGTCCTCCCCATTGGAGCGCAAGGCAACCCTTTCTACTTGAAAGCTTTCTGAAAGCCGCCGCCTGCCGAGGTCGTGTCGACTGGATCGCTCGTAGGCTACAGCACCTGTGACGGAACCCCAAGACCAGCTCGCTGCCGGCCTCGATGAGAGTCGCGCGCTTGCTTTGATGGGTTGGACCGCCCACAGCAGGTCCTCGCCGAGTGACGAACGCCACAGACCAGCGACATAGTGGTCTTCAGGTCTCAGTCGCCCGACAGCGGTCGCGAGCCCCGCCAGTGCGATGAGTCGGTCCTGGGGAAAGGTGAGAGCCAAGCGCGAGTATTCCTGCACAACCTCGACGCGCCACAAGTCGCGGAAGTACTCCTGATCATCGTCGTTGACAAGAAGCCCCTTGAGCAAGCTCTCGTAAACGTAGGGTCTATGACTTGTTGCCGAGCACTCACAAGTACAAATGGAACGGCACTCCCATGCCATCTCGAACTCAGAGAAGTGCAACGTGCGGGGCGAGAGGATGCGTTCCTGGAAGACCCAGCCCCGCGTCGACAGAATACTGCGAGGGGCTTCCGGTTCGTCAGCCCACGAGTATTCCGTCTCCTTTTGACTGCGCACGCCGGCGAGGCCATGGTATGGCAGCAGAAGCCCGAGCTTGCCGCGTTCCCGGGCGCAGACAACACCCTCCACGCTGTGTCCGGTAGCACCCGTAAAGGAATACGGGACCTCGGCATGTGGTTTAGTCTGCCGCGTAGACGCCGCGAGGAAGCCGTCGGTGCTACACGAGGCGGCATCGGCCGAGATAGTGACGAGGGCGCTTTCATAAATTGTCGCCATGTGCGCCGCCTCGCTACGCCAATCGTCCTTATCGTCTTGGATGATACAAAGAGAGTCTATCCAGAGAAACCGAACACCCAACATCTTTGTGACGGCAATAGCATCGCGAAAGGTCGCAGGTAGCAGAGATGGTAGGGTTTTGAGATGAGCCGCGAGCGTGCCACGTGTGGTACGCACTGGTGTGCTCCCGCCCCAGCAGTGACTCAGTGCCACATAGCGGTCCTTCTCGTTCGGCAACGGCAAGTACAGCTTGTTGTTCTCAACATCAATAACCCTCTTCGGAAGAGGCGATGTTTCGCTAGCAAGACATCCGGACTTGGTATGCTTGCCCGAACCAGCGGTGCAATCCCTCAACCAAGTGCGCGCCAGCTCGACGCAGCTGTCCGCGAGACCCTCAGTCGCAATGTGGTAGCCCTTGCCCACCGCCACCCACGGTGAACGTGCCTCGACATCTGAGCATGCGTCAGAAAAACACCGCGTCGTTGGTAGCGCGAATAGTAAGGAGGAAAACGAGGAGCATGTTTACCCCAAGGCGTGTAATACTGCACCTCCACCCGGAGCACCTTGCCCTTTGACGGACCGTCTCTCAGGCGAGGTGGCTCGTTGGTACCGTTATACCACCCCGGGCAGAGCGTGACGGAAAGCGGACCCATGGAGACGTCTGGTCCCCTCTCGTTGACCTGGAGCCACTGGTAGGCGTAAATGTCGAGGCCGACGACGGCGTAGGCGCCGTCCCAGAGCAGCCGGCAGGCGGGGCACTCGATGCGTCCCGTGGCCGTCAGCTCGTCCCGCAGGTCGCCAATCTTGACTTCGAGACGCCAGACGGTTTTTGTTTTGAGGAGACTGTGGCACCGAGCGCATCCGGGGCCATTGTTGTTGGGCGGGAATTCGATCACGGGCAGGGGCTCAGAGTCCTCCTCTTCATCGGTACTATATCGTGGCATGCGAAACCGGTCCATGTTGGAATACGATGATCGGGGAAGCAAAGAAAGGGGGGGGGGGGGTTCCCAAACGACAGTGGAGGGCTTCAGTATCGCATCGCGGGGGAGGACAGGGAATTGGGGAGGGCGTACATAAAAGTGTCGATCGATCCTGCGGCACAAAGTGGATGCAGGCGTGTGAAGCAGGGCAGGCATCCATCAAATTGCCGTCAGCTGAGGCTATCGTGCAGCTCAGCCCCCCCCGGAACGGTGCATTTCCATCCCGCCTCTCAACATCTCTCTCACGCACAGCGAGTGGCCGATTGATTAATGCTTAAGTCAAGATTGCAAAGTTATCCAACAGCGCTACATTGCAATCGTCAAGGCTAGCTAGGCTGGAAGTGTAGCAGGGGAAATGCAGACTACGGTACGGACGATGATCCAGGCGGCCTAGAAGAAAATGCAAAAGAACATGAATCCTAACACAGGTCTTAAATTCACTAGCCGTTCGGTTTTCCGACGTGATCGCCATAAGGCTTTACGAATGATGCGGATCGACTGGCTAGGAGCTGTCCGTCTTGGCAGCCTTCTGCTCTTGTGGCTTGTGCAGCGCCTCGACGAGTGCCGTGAGCCGGTCGATGCGCTCGGCAAGCTCCGACACGCGCATCTCGACAGGTGTCGGGCCCTCCATGCCGTCATCCTCGCGTTCGTCCGTCTGGTCACGAGCCGAAGAGTGGCGTGGCGACGGCAGACCGGGGCGCTGCGACGACGAGGGCCGGCCCAGACCAATCTGGCGGTGCGGCTTGGTGATTTGCGACGAGGTGCGGGGTCCCGCGAAACCGGCAAACTCGTCCGGCAGGACGCGACGGCGGATGAGCTCGTACAGTTGAATGGCGCCGACGATGGGGAGGTGCGTGGCCTTGAGCAGGAGGATGCGGCCGGCGCGGAACTTGTTATCCGAAGGGAGGATGAGGCGGAGGGGGCGGAAGATGACGAGGGCGACAAGGTTAAAGGGCGGGTAGAAGTGCGTGAGGCGGTTACTAGTCGAGGCCTCGAGCACGTAGACGCTGTAGACATAGAGGTACTCTTCGCGGGCGTGGGTAATGACGCGCGAGAACGAGTTGCTGAGCATACCGGTGAGCGAGCCCATGAGGAGAATGGACGAGAGCGTGACGAAGAGAATCATGAGCGGGGGTCCGAACACGGGGTCAATATCGCGCATAATTTCGAAGCCGACAAAACTCGAGCCGAAGAAGATCTTGGTCAGGTTCATGGCCATGTGACGTAGAGGGAACTTCTCCTTGCCGATAAGGGAGAATGTTGTGAGGAAGCCGAGGTAGATGATGACGACGAGGACCATGAATTTGACAAAGTCCTTGCCCATCTGCAAGGCTGTGTCAGTTAAGTTTGCGGAGTAGTGATCAGAAAACTCACCTCGCGGAGACAAGGGATCAAGGTGCCAAAGTACGGGGACAAGCTGAGGAATGAGAAGATACGCGGCACCATGAAGAGGGCCTCGAGCGAGAAGACGTTAAAGGCCAGATCAGTGATGTATTGGTCATCATTGACAAGACCGATGACCCCTAAACGTTGTTAGAAATGCCAGCAACGACACGTTTCTCACGGGAGGAGAGCTTACTCAAAATGGCAAAGGTAACGCCGATACCGATCATGATCATGTCGAAGAGGTTCCATATATCGGCAGCATAGAAGATGGACCCGGCATCGTTCCACTCGCTCAGCTCATCGTAGCAGAAGGCAGCGAACCAAACGTACAGCGTCGCCTCGGTGGGCGTGATCCTCTCCGTGTTGAGCTCGACAAGGACACCGTAGTAGAGGCACAGGAAGACGGCGAAGAAGAGAGCCTCCCAGGCCTTGAGGTAACGCGGCACACGAAGACGGCTGAAGGGATCGGCGGTGCGTGCGTTGTAGAAGCGCGGCTTCTTCTCGGCATGGATCGAAAGGCTGTCCCAAAAGACAATGTCGCCGTTCCAAATGCCCGTGATGATCTTCTGCACGACATGCTGGCTGAGGAAGCGCTTGGCGTCGGCAATGGCGGCGATCTCGAGGGCGTTGAGCGACTTGAAGGGGGCCGTTGGGTCGTCCTCGTCATCGCTTTCGCAGTCATCGTCGTCGCTGGCGTGCATGCTCATGGTGAGCCTTGACAGCGAAGACAAGAGCTGATAGCGCTTGGTGCTGCCGGCGCCAGCGGGGCGCGGAAGCGAGTGGCGGCCTGCACCAGCATTGGACCAGTTGGGCGAGAGGAGGGGCGACTGTTCGTTGCTCTCCTCGTCGCCGTTGCCGGGGACCTGCTCGCCTTCCTGGGTGTCGGGAATATCGTAGAGGCAGAAAGCGACGGCCTCACGCTCAGACAGGCGGGTCAAGAAGCGCCAGGCGACAATCTCACAGGCGTCAGCACGCGCCTCGGCGAGGTTGCGATTGTAGGAGTCGCCTTCGGTAGCATAGTGCCACCGCAGAGCGCTGGTAGGGGCGTCAGTCTGGGCAGGAGGGATCCTCGGGGGATGAAGTGATGGAAACAGAAAACTGACAGCAGGGCATTGACAATGGCGGGGTTGGTGCACGTCGCGTTGAGGTGATCTACGAGCAGCCTCAAGCTATCGCCGGCAGTCGTGGTACGGAGCTGCTCAAAGGTGCTCGGCAGCTGAATGACCTCGGCAAAGTAGACGGACAGCTTCTTAATGACCTCGCGGAAGCCGTCGTCGACCCCAATGTCAGGCAGCAGGTTGGCGTCCCAGTTCACGGACATGGGGCTGGGCTCACGGGCGGCCGGCAGAGGCCGCGACTTGACACGCATCGGCATGATGGGCTGAGGGGTTGCTTGACTTTGTCTCGACAGGACCTTGGAGCCAATGGATGACGGGCAGGCAGCCTGTGCTTCAAAGCGAAGCCAGCAAACAGCTCGGATGAAGAGGAGAGGCCAAGACAGACGGGCGTGATGGTGAGGGGAGAGAGGAATGGGGAAGGAGGAGGTCGGTGAGGGTCGAGATGCCAAGCTTTGGCCGCGAAGTGTGGGGACGATTCCACGATAGGAAGGATGCTCATGGCGGGACGCCCCTGGCCGATGCCCACGGCCATGCGAACTGCCAGGTCGAGAATCCCTGGCTGGGATGAAATATTAGGGGACAGACACCTGAAGGACAGCAGGGTTCCCGGGGGGCCCGTGCCGCCCTGTCGTGACGCGTTGAGCGCGGTGCCGCTGCCTCGGTGGTGCGTGTGCACAATCTATGCTCCTTGCCATTGCAGGTTTCTCTTGGTCCGGTCTGTGGACTTGATGAGGAGATGGTCACGAAACGATGATCATCGGAAGGCACGCCGGCTTGGAAACGCAACAGCAGCTCTGCTACCTGCTACCTGCTACCACCGAGCCGTCCCAGTACGTCGGCTCAGACTATATGCAGGGATCTGCACATGGCAATGCCCATTCGTCAATCGATCTCGCATCCAGCACCTGCTTTTAGTAGGCACCACTGGTCAACAGCCGTGCATCCAGTCGAGACACCGACTGGTAGAAGGGCCGGCTTTGGAGATTGCCCGCGGAAGCCATCTTCAGCTCTCGACATGACTCTTTTCTTCGTTTCTTAACTGCCGGTACGCAGTTGCGCCGACTTGGAAGCAACGGCCGCGTCAACCCAACATCAGACGACCATTTCGTCCGACTATGGCCAACGGCAGCGAGGCACCGCCAGAAGCCATCATCAATTGGTGACACTGGACCATAGCGAACGAAAACCCTACACTGAGCTCGGCCTTACCATTCTATTTAATTCCTGACAGCACAAGGTTGAACGATCATCTAGGCGCGACAGACTGAACCAGTCTCGGTTGTGACCACGCCAACAGACGACATCAACATGGCAAGTAGCAAGCAGCAGCTCGGGCCAACGTGGGTGTTGTTTGAGGTCCGCTCCGGGTCACTCGTGGCTGGGCGCAACACCTCCCCCCCCCCCCCCCCGCGCCTCTGAACGGGGCTCATCCTAGATGGGAGCTCTGATGCGGATCCTCGTTTCCAGACTCGGAGCTGCCCCATTGGTTGCTAGGCAGCTCGGGCGAGGGTCACAGCAACAGCCAGGGACAGACAAAGAGTAGCAAGAAGGAAAAAAAACAAGTCTTGATGCAGGGATTCGAGTGAGGTGCGAGTGAGGCTATCCAACAGCCACGAAAACGACGGCGAAGAAGACGAATTATCAAGGGGCACTTTTTCATTTCTCTTTCGGCTCAAGCCATCCGATGAAGACAGATAGCGAAAATCTGGCAACGGGAAACTGGTCGGAACGAAATCCAGAGTTCAGTCAGACCCCCAGCGAGTCAGCCCAGGGAGGCCAGGCACAGCCACGCTGCGGTCTAAAAAAAGGTTGTCATGCTAGGTAGGTGTGAAGGCATCTGGGGAGCGCTCAGTGGTGCCGCTAGCACTGCACGAGACAGTGTGAAGACCCAGGCGGACCTGTGTGGCTTACGTGTCGTTGAGCACTCATCGCGACAGTGCCCAAATGTGTTCGACCCCGCAGCTGGGGCGAGATCGACGCGTGCACCGCCACGTCTTCCCAGCGGAAAACACTGGGAAGGCACTGAGAAAGCAGCGAGCCGCAACTCCAACCTCCTATCTCACCCAATCCTCCCCAATCAAGCGACGAGATCGTCGGGCAAGGTCCCTGACTTGTCCATTGGTGTGCCTGAAGTAGGGTCAGACCTGCAGCGGGAGGCCCAGACCCACAGGAAAAGGCCCCCCCTACCCATCAATGACGCCCCCAAACCCCGCCACCCTGGCGGGAGCCCAGCCAACGAAGGTGTGGGACTGCGGCCGAGAGCCAGAAAGCCCATGATGATGCCTGCACCTGCCACCTGCTTTTTCCAAAGCCCCAAGCAAGACCCAGCACGTTTATACGACCTTATGGAGGAACTTAATTCGCAATTTCCATCGATGAAAGGGGAAAGAAGTTGAGGCAAAGGGTTAATGATAAGGGCCATCGACTTGGGATCCCACGTATTGTCGTTTCAGCCCTGTGTCTTTCCATCTTCTCACGACGATGCCGAGGAAGGGGAAGCAAAGGCCCCCTCCATCCCTGCCACTTAGTTGACTTCCCTGCAGGGTCTAAATTTGCCTTCAGACGGTTGTTCTTTCTTGGCCGTGCCGTGCCTGGCTCGCTGGAGTACTTTCTTTTGTCTCGCGGGTGCCCAGGACGCACTTGCCTTGTCGTGCCCTCTCTCTCTCTCACACACTCGTATCGCCTCCCTTCTCTTGTTGCTTCCCCAACCGACCCAAACCGCTGTACGGGTTCAAATCACCGACTCTTGCCATGGATCCCGCTGGTCGCTGCCCGCCTTGAGACACAGCAGCAACACCTGCCAAATTGCAAACCATATCGAACAGCAGCCGACTCCCAACGGATAGATTTACTTCTCGCCACCTCCCATTTCCAACAACACTACTTATCGGCATCCATCGCGCGAGACACAGCGTCACTCACACGACGCCTCTTCAAGAAAAGAAGAAGCTACGAAGACGCCATGTCGCTAGTTCATGCCATGCTCCCGCATCTGCCTTCCGCAACGGCCATTCTGTTGCTCACCTCTATTCTTGCGCCAGCCAACGCCCACGTGCTACCTCGCCAGACGTTGGTGATTGACTACCGCCAACTCGACGTCCTCCCGTATCCCCCGCTACCAACTGCGGCTTCGCTGTTGCCTCACGACCTGCTGAGGAGGCAAGAGGAGAACACGATATGCGGCTACGTCGGCGGCGACCCTGCCCTTCCCGCCACGTGCTCGGCCGGCTCGCACTGCGTTGTTGACCAGGGCGTAGGCGCCATCGGATGCTGTCCCAACGGCGCCGGCGCATGCACGACGGGTGTCTTTACCGGCTGCGTTGACGCCAACAGCGGCCCCCAGACCGAGCTGAACCCCTACGTCTTCACTTGCGTCGGCTCCGACGTCTGCTACAGGAACACCTTTGAGGGCGGAAACTTCCAATACGGCTGCGGCTCCGCCTCGGACATGGCTGCCACCGTCGTAGCTACCGCTTCCGGCGTGACAGCCCCGCCTGCACTCGAGACTGTTTCGGCGCCCCTGACGGCCACGCCTAGCCAGCTGTCCGAGCCTACGACGCTCGGGTCTGTCTCCAGCGGCAGCCAGACAACGTCAACCGCATCGTCGACAGACACCTCATCCAGCAGCAGCGCGTTCAGCTCGGCGTCGTCTTCAACGTCGACAGACGAGTCGTCCTCTACCTCGGCAGCCGCTGAGTCCTCCACCGCCTCTGGCGAGCCCGTCACGGAAGCGCCAGATGCGTCTTCCTCAGGTGGTGTCAACAAGACTGGGGCCATTATCGGAGGCTCCATCAGCGGCGCCGCCGTACTCATCGGTCTGCTTGTCGTTGGTCTCTTCTGCTGGAAGCGAAAGCGTGGCAATAAACGCCAAGGACCTGGTACCAAGGAAAACATTCGCTACATCAGGTGAGAAATTTACTTTTGCGCAGCGAAAAAAGCAGAGTGGTCTTTACTAACTAATTTTGCAGTCCCATGACGGGTGCCTCTGGCTTCGCTCCTATCGGATCTGGTCGAGACACGTACGAGCAGGCCTACATGCCGGGCCAAAACGGCAACCAGACAACCATCATCAGCAACAAGGGCATGGCGCAGCCCGCCCATCATCCCACGGCCGACCTCGACCAGCCGTTCGGCTATGGTCCCTCGGGCGAGGTCATTCCCATGCGCGCGACGCACAACGCCCAGGGCGGCAGCGGCAACGATGACCAGGTGCCGCTGACGCAGGAGTACGACGAATTCTCGCGCGGTTTTAACGACGCTCTGACGCGCATCGACGAGGAGGACAGCCGGCCCGCGACGGCTGTCAACAATAGCAGCATGAGCGGCAGCGGCAACGCCTTCACTCCCTCCGCCGAGGACGAGGCGGACCTGTCGCCCACGCGACGCTACGTCCGGGGGAACGGCGGCGGCCCACTGTGGCAGCAGAACCGCCAGCAGAGCAGCCGTAACATGATGTGGATGTAAGCGGGCCTGTTGGAGGGGGACTTGATGTAAAAATACAATGCGAGACCTGAAGGGGGCTAGACTTGGCGACGACATGACGACACCCCCCATCAATGGAAGGACATAACAGTGGGAAACGGAAGAGAAGGACATACAAAACGGAACGGGAGAGGAACAGGCGGGGAAAGCATCTATATGGTTTGCATAGCGGTTTGATGTCCTGGTTTAGGCTGGCGTTTATCGGAGCGGGCGGCTTCTTTTTCCCTGGTGCTGGTTGAGAGTCATTGGCGACTAGCCCCTCTGTAGCATGTAATGAATGACACTTGCGGTTCTGGATGCTATAGATTCGTGGTTCGTTGATGGTTGTGCCGTGCCATTGTGCTGTGCGTCAAGTGTGAGGTGGGATGAATGGGTGGCGTGAGGGACATGACAACATGTCACATTTTGAGGGACCATTCGAGGTATGTGGCTCACTATGTTCACATATATCTGCCATTCTTCCACATATGCATCTTGTATTGATCATTGCTATAAACCATGCATCCTCTTCCCTCTCATGTCTTCATATCATATACGTATGCCTCACCTACGGAGCAGGCGTGGCCGTAGGCAGACAGGCGCAGGCGCTCGAGGCCCGCGCGATGGCGTCACCGGCGCAGTTCTTGACGGCGTGGGACGGCAGGGCGGCGACATCGCGGACGGGCCGGCTGAGGAAGTCGTCGCAGAACTCGCGCGACTCGGCGAGGCGGCCGGGGACCGAGGTGGCGCGGAAGGAACGCAGGCAGTTGTCGGCGTTGCAGACGGGGGCCCGCGGGCAGTCGGTGCCGGTGAGCTTGACGGTCCAGGCGCCGCGCTCGATCGAGTTGATGAAGACGTAGCCCGACTTGAAGTAGGCGTAGCTGGACCAGGTGCCGAGGAACTCGACGTCGCCGCCGCCGGGGAGGTCGTCGTCCTCCGGGTAGAGGTCGAACCAGGCGACCTCGCAGACGGAGGCGCCGGTGGGGTCGCGAGGGATGGAGCTGACGTCGAAGACACGGAGGCCGGCGCCGTAGTTGGACTGGTAGTTGAGGCCGTCAATGACATACTGGTTGTGGTCGATGGCCTTGGTCTTGGACTTGTAGAGGCCCGTCTGCTTGGGCTTCTCGAGGTCGCGAATGTCCCAGATGTACGTGACGGGGAAGCCGTCGGCGGCGGGACCGCGGGCGCGGACCTCGTCGAGCTCGTCGTCCATGACGAGGTACTCCTGGTTCTTGGGGTCGAGCACCCAGCCCTGGTGCGTGTAGGCCGCGCCCTCGTAGCTGATGCGCGAGATGATGTTGGTCACGTTGGCCTTGTTGGTGACGTCGTAGATGGTCAGTGTGTCCTCGTTGTAGCCGTAGCAGATGTCACGGCCCTCGTAGCGCTTGTCGGGGCCGTGGTACACCATGCACTGGGCGTCGTGGACGTACCCGTCGCCGGCCGCGCAGCCCAGGGACTTGGGGTTCGTGGGGTCGGTTAGGTCGAAGAAGTTGAGACCACTGCGGCAGTTGGGGTCAGTGCGAGGCTGCGAGCCGACGGCGGCGAAGTAGTTCAGCTCCTCGTTGACGACAATGTTGTGCTGGTTGCCGCGGGGCATGAGGGCGTTGGTCCAGGCGGCCAGGTCGTTCCTGGGGTGGAAGACGACGGGGTTGGCAGGGTCAATGGTCAGCAGCTTGTGCATGTCGAAGATCTGCACGCCGTGGCCAGGCGCCTCGGAGCCAATGATCATGTAGTGCTTGTAGGACCGGATCTCACGCCACTCGGAAGGGGTCGTCACCTGGGGCAGGCGGCCGAGGTAGGTCATGCGGCCGTCCTTGCCAATCTCGATAAAGGCAGTGCCGTCGTACTGACCGACGGCGACAAACTCACGGTCGTCGTCCGAGGTCCAGCCCCATGAGGAGGATCCTTCGGCGCCGGGGCTGCCGAGAGCAATGTGAGGAAGGAAGTGGACGAGGTCGACGTTGTTGCACCTGAAAGTGTTGTGGCGATCCCCGACGATGGCCTCCGCCCAGCCGTTGACGCACTTGGTGGCGTTGAGTTCCGGGTACTGCTCGCTCTTGAAGATGCCAGACTCTCTCGCCGTCTTCCAGAAGTTCTGTGTCCCTCTTGTTAGAGGATCCATGCGAGATGCGGGTTTCGAAAAAAAGGAAACTCACCATCTTTCTGTCCATGACGGCCTTGTGGACAAGGCCCGAGTCGTAAAGCTCGGCGGCGACAGCCTCATTGACGGCTACCTCTTTGGCCAGAGCCGAAGAGGCAAGCAGGGCAAGGGAGCCCAGGTAGCTGGCGGCGCGCACCATGGTGATGAAACGTAGGACGATTTGGGAGGATAGGGACGGGCTTCAGAGGAGGGTGCGAAGCGTGCTCGTGAAGACTGCTCCGTCTCGTCGTAAGAGGCCAGAGAGACGCGGTCCTCTATATATAGGTTGCGCGTCGTCGAGACCTTATCCAAGACAGAAGACGAGGATCGACAGGTCCGCCTGCCCAACAACCCCTAGGGTGACGGCAGGACAGGTCAGACTGCACATTCCACAGGACCCCGCCCTTGTGAGCTCGCATCTGAGCAGGCGAGGCAAACTGCCAAGGTCTGCGGGGCTATCAAGGCCTCTCAATTGTCATGGTAGTTCCGGGGAAGAGGGTTGTAACTTGTTGTAGCGCCTGGGCGACTTGTTCGTCCTTCCAAAAGTGAACACGAAGCGCGTCGAGGCTAGTCGCCTCCATAGCTCGACTGGAGACCCAGGTGTCCTGTCGACGATAATGACATGGCCGTTCAAGGTGCCATTGGCCAACCAAAGGGTGTCTGGAGGGGACGGCATGCTCAAACAAGAAGGTCCCAAGACGTGGTCATTGTCGTCGTGCTTGGCAAGAGCACAGCCATTAGTGATTGCTTTTCAGCGGCCGAGGTCTTGGCGGAGGGGTCTAGCAAGGGGGACCATGTTGCCTCATGCTGGGAGAGAATAGGGTCAGCCCGCAAGTACCGTGTTCTTGTCTGGCCCAAGCAGAGTCTCTCTCAGTGGCGATCGCTCAGATTTCGATCAGCCGCATTGCGAGGCTCATAGAATTGATGCAGAAGCATGGACGGTTCCGAAACGAGATGCCAGATAAGTTCCTCCCCCTATCCATGCCAAGCAGAGGTTCACTGTATCCTGAAGAAAGCGGGTCCGCCCAGGAAGAGATGGCCCAGCTTCCGCATTCGTACGGTCTGTCTTCTTGTGGCGCTTCCAGAAGCCTGGTGTCATGCTGACCAGCAATGACCATGGCTGGTGGCTTTCAGGCTGGCCGAGTGCCATGCATCGAGGGCTGCAGCGTGCATACGAGGCTATCGAGGTATTTGTCTTGGCAACCCATCGTCGTTGACTCGTTGTATTGGGCATGCTTTGGTCGATGCGATTCGTGTTGACGGCGGCGTTCATGATGCAAGCCATGCTGGCTCTGGTCATGCTTCAGATGCCAGCGACGAGTCGGCGGACACCAGCAGTTCAGGGTCGTCCCACGCTGGAACGAAGGAATCGTCGAAGGTGTCTCGGTGTCTCGGATATGGAGCATTGTTCGGACACCGATCTAGTCGAGGATAGCAACAAAACGAGAAGAGATGGATCGCGTTAAGAAGGCAAGGCCAGTCCAGAAGGGTTGGAAACCTCTTGGATAGGTATCTAGGTACCCAAGCCAGGCGGGGCCTTCCCGCTCTACATGTACATTCTAGGTACAGTGCCAATCAAGATGAGGTGCCGCAGCTCGGCTCGAAGCGCAGCGGAACCCGGAACCTTATCGAAGGACCGTTACAAGGCACATGGGGACAATACGGGATGGCCATTGCGCACTGCGAGCTAGAGACAGCTCGCTCAACCTTATCGACTAGTACGAGTCGCGTTTTCCCCATGCACCTGTACGTCGTTCGTACACGTTCGATTTCACCGTCAGGCGAGGCTGGTCGCCGAGGCCGGCCACACGGCTTGCTAGGGTTGATGGGGAAGGAGGTCGCTCACGTCCCCATATCCGACATGATCCATGCTAAAAGCTCGCGCCATGTAGTTCCTTGGCTTTTGAAGGAGTTTCGGGGCAATAGGTCACCGGCGCTCATCGACAGTCTCTGCTGTGCTTGACCAGGAGCATGGTCCCGAGAGATGTGTCATTGAGCACAGTCATTTGGACGAAGCAGAATGGATGGTATTCATGGTCCGATGTGGAAGCCTCGCGCATATCAGCTGTGCTCAATCAGAGGTCTGTCGACAAGGGCGTCGAGCAGATCAAAAGCTCGAGGCGCGACATAGACTGATAGACTGTCGAAACTTCCACGTCGGTTGCCTTTTACACCTGGAGAAATCCTTGTCATGTTGCACATCTTCGGCAGGATGATGTGAGGTTTCATTGCACGAGGCACACCAAAGGCTCTCTCGAATCGTAGCCGAATCCTTGTGGATCTGCCTACGAAACGCATGCTAGCTGATCGGAGTTGATGACAAGCCGTGTTGGACAAAATGCACAGCAGAAAGTCTACTCAATCCATAGTCCTGGTTCCATCTCTCCACTCCAACATCTCACCATCAATGTCCTTGCCCCCCCCCCCACAGGAAACGCGGGGTATCTGGGCAACTGATGCCGTGACAAAAGTCAGAATCACCTGCATTGGCAGCTACCAGCTTTGCCCACAGATATGCTTTGGAACAAACAGGACTCGGACATTTGCCTGACTAGAGTCCTTCTGTTGCGTCGAAACACTCGATCCCGCCAGAAGTCGCCGTTCGGGTTTCCCGGCCTCTGACACGATGCCCGGATATCCCGATCATCGGTGTGGGGCACTTCCGGCCGCCGAAGGTCGAGAGTCTCGCATCCCTCCGCCAAGGGTAGCACTTTATTGAGCTACCTCGGGGTATGTTTCAAGCGAAGCTGTGACCCGTAGACCATATCATACAGACGTATCTGCGGGCTGCAACTTTCGAATCACTGCTTCCAGAAAAATGAGCCATCATGTCGACAGCCCCCCAGTCTACGGCGTGTCCGAG